ACAATACAGGAAGAGGTATGAGCAAGAAAGATTTATTTCAGGGATGCAAGGGGGGTTCAACATCCACAAATCAATCAAACCAATAGGCTGCATTAACAAAATGAAGGATAAAAATCATATGATCATCTCAACCGATGCAGAAAAAGCATTTGACAAAATGCAACACCCATTTTGATAAAAACTCTCAACAAAGCAGGTATACAGGGAACGTAACTCAACATAATAAAGGTCATACCTGAGAAGTCACATCCTATGCAATGGTGAAAACCGAGTGCTTCTCCTCTAAGATCAGGAACAAGACAGGGATGCCCACTCTTGTCACTTTTATTCAACATACAGTTGACGCTTGAATAATGCAGGGATTAGGGGTGCCAAACCCCTGTGCAGTTGAAAATCTGAGTATACTTTTGACTCCCCCAAAACTAAACTACTAATAGCCTACTGTTGACCCAAAACCTTATCAGTAACACAAAGAGTTGATTCACACATATTTTGAATGTTATATGTATCATAGACTATATTCTTACAACAAAGTAAGCTAGAGAAGAAGAATGTGATTAAGAAAATCCCGATGGAGCTTGGGGCACCTGGGTGGCTCAGTCATGGAGTGTCTGCCTTCGGCTCAGGTCATGATCCCAAGGTCCTGGGATCTAGCCCCGCATGGGGCTCCCTGCTCTGCGGGGAGCCTCCTTCTCCCTCTCCCATTCCCCCTGCTTGTGTTCCCTCCCTCGCGGTGTCTCTGTCAAATAAATAAATAAAATCTTAAAAAAAAAAAAAAAAAGGAAAATCCTGATGGAGCTAGAGTGTATTATGCTAAGGAAAATAAGTCAGTCAGAGAAAGACGAATACCATGTGATTTCACTCCTGTGGAATTTAAGAAACAAAACAGATCAATATATGGGAGGGGGACTACAAAGAACAGAGAAGGAAACAAACTATGAGAAACTCTTGATGCTGGAAAACAAACTGACTGTTGATAGAGAGGAGGTGGTTGGGGGTTGGACTCACTGGGTGATGGGGATTAAGGAGGGCCCGTGTTATGATGAGCACTGGGTGTTGTCTGCAAGTGATGAATCCCTGAATTCTCCTGAAACCAATATTGTACTGTATATTAAATAACTAGAATTTAAATACAAATTTGAAAAGACAAAAAAAAAAAAGAAGATCGAAAAGGACAATACATTTACAGCAATGTCTGTATTTACTGGGAAAAAAAAATGTATTAAGTGGACCACACAATTCAAACCCATGTTGGCCAAGGGTCAACTGTACTACTGGAAATCCTAGGCAGAGCTATTACACACACACAAAAATAAATAAAAGGCATCCAAATTGGAAAGGAAGAAGTAAAGGTCACTATATTCAGATGACATATTATATGTAAAAAACCCTAAAAACAACACCAAAAAAAAATATTAAAAGAAACAAATTCAGTAAAGTTGCAGGATAAAAAGTACATAAAAATCTGTTCCATTTTTATACACTAATAATGAACAGGAAAATAAATTTTAAAAAATCGTATTTAAAACTGTATCCAAAAAACCCCAAATACTTGGGGATAGATTTAACCAAAGAGGTGAAAGCCTATACACTGAAAACTACAAGACATTAAGGAAAGAAACTGAAGACAACACAAGTAAATGGACATTCCATGTTCATGGATTAGAAGAACTAAGTGTTAAAACATCTATACTACCCAAAACCATCTAGAGAGTCAATGCAATTCTTAACCAAATTCCAAACACATTTTTCACAGACATAAGGCAAAGAATCTTTAAAATTTGTATGGAACCACAAAAGACTCTGAATAGCCAAAGCAATCTTAAGAAAGAACAAAGCTGGAGGCATCAGGCTCCCTGGTTTCAAACTCTACTTACAAAGCTATAGTGATTGCCGTCATGCTGGCATAAACACAGATACACAGATCACCAGCCCAGAAGAGAGAGCCCAGAAGGAAACCCACACATCTATGGTCCAGTACCTTATGACCAAGGAGCCAAGAATATACAAGGAGGAAAAACAGTCTCTTTAATCAACGGTGTGGGAAAACTGGACAGCCCCATGCAAAGGAATGAAACTATACACAAAAAATAACTCAAAATGGTTTCAAGACTCGAATATAAGACCTGAAACCATAGCTCTTAGCAGAAAACACAGGGGAAAACCTGCTCGACATAGGTCCTGGCAGTGATTTTTCTGGATCACCCTCCAAAACCAAAGGCAACAAAAGAAAAAAAAGAAAATAAGCAAAACGACATCAAACTCAAAAGCTCCTGCCCAGTAAAGAAAAGAATAAAAAACAAACAATGTGATTAAAAAGTGGAAGGATAAGGAAGACGTGATCCATATATGCAATGGAATATTACTCAGCCATCAGAAAGGATGAATGCCCACCATTTACATCGACATGGATGGAACTGGAGTGGATTATCCTAAGTGAAGTAAGTCAAGCAGAGAATGACAATTATCATATGGTTTCACTCATATGTGGAACATTAGGAATAGCATGGAGGACATTAGGAGAAGGAAGGGAAAACTGAAGGGGGTGGGAAACAGAGGGGGAGTCAAACCAGGAGAGACTATGGACTCCAGGAAACAAACTGAGGGTTTCAGAGGGGAGGGGGGTGGGGGGATGGGTTAGCCTGGTGATGGGTATTAAGGCAGGCACGTATTGCATGGGCACTGGGTGCTATATGCAAACAATGAATCGTAGAACACTACATCAAGAACTAATGATCTGCTGTATGGTGACTAACATAAATCAATCAATCAATCAATAATAAATTTTAAAATTTAAAATAAATAAAGAAAAAAGAAAATAAAGAAAATCTGTCAAGCAACAAATGTTCATCTAGCACAGACCTCCTTCAGTAATGAAGGACACATCGACATTCCCTGATAAACAAAACCTGAGAGAACCCCCTGCTGTCACAAGCCCTGCAAGAACTATTAATCTTTTCTTTTTATAAAGATTTTATTTATTTATTTGAGAGAGAGAATGAGAGAGAGAGAGCATGAGAAGGGGGAGGGTCAGAGGGAGAAGCAGACTCCCTGCTGAGCAGGGAGTCCGATGTGGGACTCGATCCCGGACTCCAGGATCATGACCTGAGCCGAAGGCAGTGGCTTAACCAACTGAGCCACCCAGGCGCCCTGCAAGAACTATTAGAGGGAGTCCTTCAAGCAGAAAGGAAAAGACAACACAGTAACTCAATCTTCCATGGAGAAACAGTTACAGAGATGAATATACAAGCAAGTATAAATGTGTAAGTGCATAAAATGTATATGGGATAAACGTATAAGATATATTCTTTTCTTCTGATTTACAAGAAATCTACATGAAGTCAATATCAATTGGTGTTGATCAGCTCACAATGTCGAAATGTAGAAATGCGGTATGTAGGACAATAATGGCAAAAGGAGGGGACGTCGATTGATTAAAGGTTCTGTATGCCTTGGAAATTAATCTGGTATTAATCTAATTAGAATGTTATAAATAAAGATGTGAACTGCAATGTCTGGAGAATCTACTAAGAATATAGGCCAGAATACACAGGAAAAGCAACAACATGGGGATTTAGTTAATACTCCGGGACATAACACAAAGAAAAGCAGTAATGGAGACATGTGAGAACAAAAAAATATAACACACGTAGAAAACAAATGGAAAAAGGACAGATTGCAATGCTACCTGAAAAGTAAGTAACTTAAATTGACATGGATTACACCCTCCATTAAGAGGCAGAGCTTGGCAGTGGGGATAAAAATCTGCGGTCTCTGTGCTCTCTACAAGAGTCAGCCTTTACATCCAGGACAAAAGAGGTGGAGGGTTAAATGACGGTTAAATGACGGGAAAATAGGCACCAAGCAAATATTAATCTAACAAAACACCTAGGCCACTTTTGTTAATCTAAAACAAAGGTTATGACATTTTTTATACAAAGAAGGACAATGACTAGTACTAAAAGTGGCCACTCTTCAAGGAGATAATCATGTCATTTCACACTTAACGAGAGGACTCTAAAATACATGACAGGGAAGGAGAGAACTGAGGAGAGGGACAGACCCCTCAACAGGAACGGCTGGAGACATCAATACTCGACTTCCGACAGTGCAGAGACGGTGATTTCTTGTTCTGCTCACATCAGCACCATGGGGTGGGCAGGGGAGGGGCTGGGGCCATACTTTATGGTGCAGGGCACAGAAATTTGGAGAGATTAAGTGATGTGCTCAGGGTCGCAGTGACGATGAGGGAGGGTTCTGGGGCAGAGAATATGGATGGTTCCCCGATCACCCAGATACGAGGTCATGCCCTGCACACCGAACCAAGCCCCATCCTCAGTCCCAGGTGCACATCCTCCTACCCAACACTGTCACAAGGGGTCATCTGGTGCCCCAAGGGGGTGATGGCCCAAGACAATGGCTCAACTCCTGAGCAGTCCCCTGGCTCTACACTTCAGTCCCTGACACCAACACTATGCCTTTTTCCCAAATGAAGACCCTCTGATGGACTGGGGGTACCCAAACATGTCTCCAGCTCCCCCTCACTTACCTCTGCAGCCCCAGAATTGGATTCTCTCAACTGCCCTGCAGTGAGAATTCCCAGGGTGCCAGTGCCCACCCTGAATGACCAGTAGTCTTAACTCCCAACTGGCTCAGAACCCAGGACGTTCCAAACCAACTGCACACATGACAGTTGCTCAGAGAAATAGCTTCATCTTCAACGGACCACACTTGCTTGTGGAACAGTTAATGAACTAGGAGGGGGCTGCCCAGGCTGGCCCTTCAGTGGCTAATGCATGTCTTCCAGCCCCCATGTCTCCTAGACAAAGATCTGACCCACTCTCTGTGCAGCCTGGACTAAGGCCTTTTGAGCATGGGAAGCAGCTGCATGGGTTCTGAGTGTCCTTCCCCGCTCCTTCCTTCCTCCCAACACCCACTCTCTGCTGCACAAACTGCATTTCCTTCTCTTGAATCTACGAACTGATTCACACCCACAGCACCTTCGACGTCGTAGTCAGTGGAAGTGATATACATGAATCTCCCCCGTCGTTTGGCCAGATGTCTGTGTGGGTGCTGCTGAACCACAGATGGGGACAGCCAGGAAAATTTCTTGGCTGCAGATGATTTTGCTTTGACTCCCGGGTTTGAACCCCTTAAGATCTTTTCCTTCTAACCTAAGCCACGATCCTAGAAAATACACCAAAAACAGAACTGTTGAGGTGCAGCTGGGGAAAACCCTGGGAACACCTCATTCATTCCCTGGTCACACTTGCATTCCTGTCCACCGGGGCCTGGGGAGCCAACTGAGTCTGAACTGGGCTTAGAGAGGACTGTTGGATGTGGCGTGCACCTGACACCCCACGGACTGGGAGGGGACGTCACCATTTGGATGAGAAAATCTCCAAATGCAGCTCTCATAGTGAGCGGAGAGCACAGAGGATGGTGTTGGTGGCCGGTATCCAATCCTACTAGAAGCCACACATAACTGGGAAAGTTACTTGACCTTTCTGTCCTTGGACCCCTGTTCTGTGCATGGGGCCTACTTACTGGTATTATGTTATGAAGCTTCATATACGAAAATCCAGATAGCCCCTCAAGTCAATGAGCGGTCCCTCATAAGTGCTGCATGAGTGTTCCAATACGACAGGTCTGTAAGAATAAGCAAGAAATATAGGGGTCACTGCCCCCCAGAGAGGAAACGTCGATGGCTACAGGGCAGAGGAGGGGGGAAGGTGGCCTTTCAGCATTTACGTGGGCACGATGCATTACCGCTCATGGAGAATATCTGTCATCGTATCCTCTCCTCCGCCATCATCCCTGTGGGATGCAAGGACCAGGGGCTATGCCCCCCGTTTTGTGGTTCACGGCACTGAGATGCAGAGAGGTTAAATGGTTTGCCCAGAGGCACAGTGCAATGACAGATGGTTCAGGGAGAAGGAAGTAGTTGGTTTTCTGGGGACAGAGATCCCTGAACCCCCTGAGTCCTCTAGCTTATGTGCTCGACTTCTGAATTCAGGGTTCCCCTCCCTCCTCCCCCAAATTTCCCGCCCAGAAAAGGGCACTGGCCTGACCCAGCCTCCACCCCTACATGTCAATCCCTGCCTGAATCCGAAGCCATGATGTTTTCCTGAAAGGAAATGCCTGGAAGGCAGGGAGGCCAATCTGTGTCCTCTGCCCCAGCATCTTTACATGCGAGACTGAGCTCCTGAGGGTCTGACCCGTGGTCTACTCACGACCACCCCCTTGTCTCCACTTTGTGGTCACATGCAAGAGCAGGCCCCCCATGATTTTGGAACGTTTTCCTCAAGGGACAACAAGTCCATCAGTGAAGTGATGGAGAGCACGGGCACAAGGCTGTCTTCCCCTTTTCATGCCAGGCTCACCACACTGGTTATTTCCTCCTCTTGTTCTGACTTCCAAACTGCTTCCTCTTACTTCTTCTCTTAAGTCGATGGAAAGGAAGCTTCTTGAGAGCTGAAAGCAAAAGCAGCCTGGAGGATGACCAGTGCCACCCAGGCAGGAAACACCCGAGTGGGGGCCCCAGGCAGATCCTCAATTCCTGGAGCTTCTCCTCCAGCAGCGTGGGCTCAGCCCTGCTGAGTCCGAACCCCGCTGCCCGCTGGGCTGTTCAGGGCTGCTCCCCAGACTCAAGGGTGCAGACCCAGGGTCGGAGGCCAGGGCGACGCTAGCTAGAAAGGGGCCGAGGAGGGCTGCAGAGAAGTTTCCTGGACACTGCAGATGCCCACAGGAGACCAGCTCCTTCAGGGTGGGCATCAGAAAAGGAGGGGATGGGAAAGAGCTAGGAAGAGGTGCTCGTGGGCAGCAGAGAGAGGAAATGCAAGAGCTGGAGGCACAAATGATTGACAGGCACAGCAATGCTCCCTGTGCCTGAGCCCTGAAACTCTGCAAAGTGATCCTGCGCATGGACAATTGCAGGGCGGCCCGGGCGGGTCTGGGCAACCACAGGGACAGTCAGGCTTGAAGTGAGTGCTCCGCCTCATTGCCCCTGGCAGGACAGAGGCTGACCTCTAGGTAGAGGCAGGGTCCACCCGACTGGCCCAGGAGCCCTGACCCACTGCTTCCTACCTGAGTGCACTTCTGATGTTGAGTTAGAAATGCATCTTGATTTCTGCACTGATGCTAATGATGCACTTAATAAATTTAAATTTGCTCACATGAAATGGAAAAATGTGAGGCAGCATCTTTGTAGTTCTCTCGTAAGTATACAACACTGAAGAAACCATAGTAACTATTCTTGAGGTAATGAGTAAATTTTCACAGCACTTTCCTCGGTGTTCCCGATTGAGAACATCTGATTATGGAGAGAAAAGTGGACTCTTCCTTCTTTGTGTGGAAGGGGCTGATGTGGTTGCGGGGGGCTGCACACCTTCAGGCTGATCGTCCACACAGAGTCCCGGGAACTGCACAGAAAGAGAGAGCAGTGTTGGCATCTTGCTGGCAGAAGACCATTGGGGCAGGAGTCATAATTTACTCCTAGTTCAACCTTCTGCTCCCCCTACTCACCAGCTGCCCAGCAGAAAGTCTTCCCGCACAGTGGGACTTAGGAAGATGTTGCAGGGTGCTGTGCCCTGAAATCCCCCACCTGACAGGTTTTGTGGGCAACCACGGTTATTTAGCAGAGATATTATAGAAACGCAGCAAAGCACAGTGACCACGCCTGATGGCCTGGATTCACATCCCATTTACAAGCTACACGTACCTGAGAGAGTTACCGAGAGCCCTCTGTGCCTCAGTTCCCTGTCCTGAGATGTGGAAATATTCATACCGCCTACTCACTAGTGCGCTGTTGTGACGCTAAAAGTGATTTCCTCCAAGTAGAGACTGGAGCGCAGTAACTGTCTGGTGCTTCACAACTGCTCTGTAGGTGTTCAGGTATCGACGGTCTACGGAATGAGCTGGACACCTGGTAGTGGGTGAAGCCAGACACGGGACTTGGATGGCTCCACTGCATGGGCGATGGAAGCTGACTCTTTATCCTGCACAGGGGAATGAGGCTTACAGCTCACCGAGAATATGTATCATCTCCTCCTGTAATCCCCACACCAGCACCGTTGGAGGGGAAGCAGGGGCTGTAAGCCATAGTTTACAGTGGAGGGCACGGAAATGTAGAGAGATGAAGGGACTGTCCCTTGTGATGGATCCGGGACAGGAATGTGGTTGGTTCCCTGGGGAGGGAGATCCCCGAGCACCTGACACCTGCCCACGACCCTGAGAAAATGTGCTGAAACCCAGAACCAAGAGCTTTCCCCACTTTCTCAAATCCAGCTGTGCCAATGTTTCTTTGGGACACAGTGGGTGTCCCTGCAGGACGTGTCTGTGCCATGAGAACAATCTGAATCCTACCTCCGCCTCCTGCCTCTATGTTTCAGTCCTGACCCGAAATGTAATGCACTTTCCTCCCAACACTGCCGCCCCCCAACCGGAATACACGGGGACGTGTGCGTGGAGCCTCCCTGCCCAGCCTCTCGTGAGGCAGGCCAATGTTCATGAAACAAATACACAAATAAATAGACATTTACATGAGAATTAACCCGAGTGTCCGATAGGTAAAGGTGAAATACACTGATGACCTATCCTTTGATTTAAATTTATGCTCTGAATTGTTTCAAATAATTGGGAAATGGTGACAGCATAGGGTAGTTAAAAAGTGGGAATTAAAGGTGTCAAGTATAATCTCTATTTTCTACAATCAAACACACTTTTATCCCAGTGTAGGAATGCCTATCGTCTGCGACACTGAACAGGGGTTATCCTGGTGAAAAGATTAGGAAGTTTTTCATCTGATCTGTAACATTTTCCCTCTCAAAACGTTGATCCTTCTGTTTTGCTACTCATGTCAGAGCACACTGGGTCAGTGCAGGGCCACGTTCTGCGGACGACGCTGCCAGCCACCTGTCCTCCAGGCCAACTGGGACGGACCCCACTGTGTACAACAGAGATGCCCAGGGTTGGCCTTGGACAGCAGGCTATTTTGCATGATTTGAGAGGTGCTGAAAAGACCTCCTCCTCCTTCCTTATACCTCATATTACATAATTAAGGACACAAGCTTTTAGTCTTGAGACTAAGTTTCGGTTACAGTATGACCATCTAGGATGGAAAGTAGCTATCACCCAAATCTTACCAAGGCGTCCTCCTGCCAGCCACGAGGGGACGGGCAGAATGAGCCTGTGGATTCATCACTGCAGGGCCTTGGGGAAGAGTTCACAGCAAGTTGGCTCAGCCAAGGGCTTTCCACGCCTGTCCTGATTCACAGGGACAGTGGCTCCTGGGACATGGCTGTGAAATTATTCAGGGAAGAGCAGGGTAAATGCAAAGATACTTGGAACTGGCTGGCCATATTCCTGGGGGATTTCTTTTTTTTCTCTTTGCCAAAGAATTTATAATCTGTCCCACCTGCCTCTTCCCTTACCTACCAATCACTGCTTTCCGTAGGGACGGCTGCCTGGAAGAGACTAGGGTTTTGGACCAAAGCCTCGGGTTCCATTCCATCCCCCCCCTTGTGAAAGTGTGGAGGCTGCCACTGCTCAGACACGGTGCGTGCTCTGGCTCAGCTCTTGCTGTACTTCTCGGAAAGTGTGTGGACCACACTGGAGAAGCAGCAGCTGAGACATTCTGTGGAATGATTAATTTCTCTTTACCAGACGAGGAGGACACACTCAAGGCCCCAAAACTCTGGTCTATGATGAATTGTGTACAGACCATGCTGGGGAAGTCTAGCCACTGACATAACAAGTCCATGACATGAATGATGGAACCAAGCCTCCCTCTTGCCCTTCTGGCCTTGGCTTGCAGCTCTGCGAGGCAGTCCCCCTCTGCGACTACGCCACTAGGGTTCCTGCGCTCAGCTAAAGCACAGTCAGGCTGGCTCTCCACCAAGAACAGATCACATGTTCCCTTTGTCACAGCCCTGCCTCCTGAGATGGTCATGTCGAGTGAGAGACTTGCCGTGGAAGGAGTTAGCAAGCACTGGAGGCATCTGGTTCCTTGTACTCCCATGTATCTCACCGGTGCAGACCTTAAGAAGTTGCAGCACGTATCAAAAATGGCTTTGACTTTTTCGTATGTTTCTTTTCGGTTTCGGGCAGTCCTTTGGGGTTGAGAAGGAATGTTTGTATATACCACTTGGCTTCTCTAAAGACCCAGAGCACAGTAGCTGCTTTGGGGCATCTCATCCCCTTGTGAGGTGAGAAGGGAGAGCGATCGCTGACCTGCTACTGCATGCCAGAGGCCTTGAAGCAAATCCCTTTCCAGCTTGAATCTAACTGCTGAGGAAATTGCAGACTGATGCATTATTAATCTCTCATGCCCTGACACTAAGTGCACCCAGGGGGGATGCTGAGAGCCACCCCTCTGCCATCTGGAGGCAGGGACTGCCAGGATCCCTCCTGCTTTGCCTGCCTCCCTGCACAGGGGCCACCTTCAGTTGTGAGCAGCCTCCAGTTTGGGGATTGTGGGGATCACTGGGCTGCTGAGAAGCACAAGGCACAAGAATTTCTCTTTTTTTTTTTTTTTTAAGCGTCACGATGAGGTTTATTTAGGAAGCTAATTCTGACAGCATCATAAAGTATGGACTGAACAGAGGAGAGGCTGTTGAAATATGGGCCTTTTCAGGGTCTCTTGGGATAATGTCATCGGATACAGTGGCACCAGACATAGAAGAGACAAGCCATTGGAGGTTTCTGAGATATTCTTAAAGTTAACATTTTTCAAAAAAATATTTTGAGACACAAGAATTTCTGATCAACTACTAGAGGGACTTTGTGCCTACATCTTCAGGCTTTTCATGGAAAACTGTCCACTTATTTAGGAAGGGACCAACATTAATGCTTTATGGTGAAACTATTTCAGTGGTTACTTTTCTTAATGATGAAGCACTATCCAGAAAGATGAAAGGCAAATGACCAAACCTTTGCACTCATGTGTTAGTAACGAGTAAGGGAGTAATCGACACCGTAGTGGTAAAATGTCAAGAAGAGACGGTTTAAAAAAATCCAAACATCTAATCAAAATATGCACAGATTTTAAATGCCACTGATGATTAATGAAAGTGAATATAAAAGCATACATTAAGCATCCAGTTGGCAGACATGAAAACCCTCCCACCACCCCGTGTCAGGGAGGCACCGGAAGACCACTTTTCACAATCTGTCATGTGGTATTAATGGGGATGACAGTTCTGTCAGGCTGCTTCTCCGTATATTGTGACAGTTTCGAAGATGCCCACAGATCCCCCTGCCTCCTCCGAAGCAGAGCGGGCAAAACCCACAGGACTCCAGCAGTGAGGAGGAAGCACTCAGCGAACAGTACTCAGGTAGGGAATAGTGGGAGAAGGCCCCTGGGCACGTGGGGTTGCACCTGCCGCTCTGGAGAATGAAGACGGTGGATAAGAAATCAGAAAGGAAAGGGAAACATTGGCGACAGGGATGATTTGTTCATTTCATCTTTTCTGACTGAGAAGGAGAGAAATTGTGTCTGTGGGCGTTTAGTGTATGCTGGGTTTGGAATCATCACTCCTTGGAGGGCTATTTTCATGATCTTTCCCATAAAACCTGCACTTCTCTCCCTCTGCCGCTGCCGAATGTCAAAGTTTGGTTTCTTTGGTCACTGCCTCTCAGGGATTGTGCACGAGAGCTTCTGTACTTTTCTTGTCATTGACCTAAATGCACATGACTCGGCGGCCACAACAACCCTCTCCCGCACACGAGCACCAGGACACTAAGTGCTAGTGAGAGCCAGGAGCGGGAAGAGAGGTAAACTCTCTCGCTCGTAATGTCCAGGACCTGTACCCAAACTTCCTGGTTCTGTCCTGGTGGCTGTACCTTAAAGAGGACACCCAGAGCCGGAGAAGGTAAAGAACATTTCCGCTGGCTGCACTACATAGGCTGCTATGGCCCTTAGCTTCCGCCAGCCTTCACAGTCCACCCGAAGTTGACCTGCGCACATGCCTCCAGGGGAAAGAGGCCCCTGTGCAGCTGCCCGGGAGACCCTTGGTGGCGGAACGGGGGTCCAAGAGGCCTGTATGAAGGTGCGGCTGGGCCTGCGGCACCCACTCGCTGTCACGGCCCCGCTGACCTGTCACCAGGTGTCATCTAGGCGTAGGACAGAGCCTCTGGGCAGCAGGGCCAGGGAGTCACTGCTCCTCTCCCAACCCCCCTCCCCGGGCTCACAGCACTGGCCATGCTCCTCACTCCCCAGTCAGGCCCACCCTGTGGGAAGGGAAAGGAGCATCCTTAGGAGAGGAGGAGGAAGGGGAGCAGGAAGCGAGAGGAGCAAGCAGGGAGGAAGGCAAAGTCCTGCAGAGATAGTCATGGGGACAGTGAGTGCCTACAGCAGGGACAGGATGACAGACTTCTTTCCTGGTCAAGGAGAGAACTGGAGGTGGAAAAAACAGGTGGGAGCTCAGAGACCCACTTCCACCCTGTGCAGAGAAAGGCACCAAGGCCAGGGAGGACTCAGAGCCGAGGACCCATCAAACTGAGGTCAGAGCCCAGCATCCCGAGAGCAACAGGCCAAAGGCTGTCACCTCCACTAACTCTCCTTTGTCCTCTCCCACGGCCCCCCCAGCATCACCACTGCTCTCTGCATGCGAAGAGGACTCCACAGAGGAAGAGGATTCCGATGGAAGGAGCAACACTGTGCCTGTAATTCATTTCCTCCTACAGCTCTTGCCCTTCCTCTCTCTGCCACCCATGAGCACCTCTTCCTAGCTCCTCCTCATTCCCTGGTTTGACGAGGCCCACCCTGGAGGACCTGGTCTCCTGCAGGCACTGAGGCTTTGCATCTGCAGTGCTCATGAAATCACTCCGCAGCCCTCCTCAGCCCTTTCTTAGCATCACCCTGACCCCTCACCACTGATTCTGGGAAGCAGCCCTGAACAGCTGAGCAGGGAGCCGGGCTGGGAGTACGCAGGGCAGAGCTCACCCTGCTGGAGGGGCCTGGGGATGAGAGGCCGGGCCTGGGACCCCCACTTGGGTGTTTCCTGGCCAGGGAAGATGGTTATGCCTGGTTCTGCTCTTCCTTGAAGCTCTCAAGATGCTTCCCTTGGACAAATAAACCGTAGGCCTCTTGTAAGAGCTGCCCTAAACCACACGCCACTCACGATCTCATACCACTCCACCTGCTGTTTCCCATAACTGCACAACAGGACAGTCTGAGCACGACCCAGAAGCTCCAGACGCTCCAGAGATCCACAGAGAAAGGGAACCAAGAATGACTTCTGGCTCCATCTGCAGGTTGAGAAGAAACATGCCTGGAGGAACTGCTCTCCTACACCTGACCCTTGCAGGCCAAAAAGACTTGTGCGGCTGACCAGAGGACGGCACTGGGACCCCTGAGGACAAAACAAGGAGGCCGTCTGAGTCGGCCACCGCACGAAGACCTGGGTTTCCAGTCACAGCTGATGACTGACACTCTGAGGAGGTGGCGACGCTCTGGGCCTTCAACAGTGCACTGTCCGGTGAGAATGGGCCCACCTGGGACTGTGGGGCTCAGCAGCCTTCCAGTCTTTTCCCCCGTCGGCTTCAGGGGCTGCTCCCCTCCCACTGTCTGTCCAGTCCCCAGCAACAATGCAGAGCCTAAGGGATGCAAGGAAGCAGGACTGCCCGGGTCCCGCGGCCACCCTGGAATCTACTGGATGGGCAGCAGCCATCCCAGCCGTCTTCCCCTGCCGCACGGTCCCTGAAGGGCCCCTGTCATGTCCATGCTCAGGTCTGTGACCGATGCTGGGCGAAACATTGGCAGTGGCACCACAGAACAAGCCCCCCTCAGCCCGTGTGTGTTTCTGGAGCAGCGACAGGTTTAGGGAGGAGAGCCTGCCCCAGATCTGAGCTCTACCTCTGGAGCACTCAGACACCACAGCAGAGACACTGGGGCCCCAAGCATCACCCTGCACATTGGGGAAACCCTGGGTCTCAGTTACTGGGGTGCTACATATCTATGACTTACAGAAATGGGGTAAAATATTAATTTATAAGCAAATGAAAGCATTTATCTTTTCTCTCTCCTTGAACCCTCAAACTCAAAAGGTCTCAGTAAATAGTCTTTCTTCCATGGCAATCGTAAGCATTTGCATAAGCTCAATAGGAATCTGTTCTTCTTGTAAGTGGACATCGTGGAAACATAGGTTATTTTACCAAGGTTTTGCCTGGAATGTCCTATTTGAGAGCGGCATGCACACACTCAGATCTGACCAAACAGCTTTAAGGAACTAAGGCTGACTTTAGGAAACCTGAAGCCTTAAAAAAGGCCTTTGGGAATGATGGCCTGATACCTTGCTTACAGAGTTCCCAGCAGCCTCACCAGGTGAGTCAAGAATGTCACTTCCTGGCAGGTGCAGGAACCTCAGGATATATTGGGGACCCCGGCAAGAGGAATCTGCCCAAATCTACAGGTATTGCAGGCATGTCTGATGGCAAGCTCTTGGCTTGGCTTCTGGCCTAGAGAGACTACTCGAAGTTCAACCTAGAGATTCCTTAGATAAGTTCCAGCAAAGCAGATTCTAAAAGATCTGCATGATCAATCACTATTCTTGCTGAGCTTATGCAAATAATTTGGCCAAGTTTGTTAAAACTGCACTTGTTTTTCAAATAAATGACTCCTGATTCGGCTATCTCTGGAAACGAGGGTTATTTTAGAGAGAAAAATTATGTTTCAATAACCCACCTTTGCGGACGTTAAATTCTAACTCTGGTTGTCTTTAAATATTTGTTGTTTACCTAAGCTAGACAACTAGAGGGAAACTTCAGAAAAACTACCACAGTAGCTCATGTATAGGCAATCTCCTTGCTTGCTATTCTGTGGGGATAATAACAGGACCCCAGGGGCATAGGATTATTTGAACAACTGGAAAATCGGGTTCATTCCCCAACGACTGTGTAACTCAACTAGGACCTTGACCCATTCTATGTGGCTGGGATGATGGAATCATCCCCTAAAAGCCATAGCATACCCGACTCCGTAGGGTTAATTGTGGACTTCCGGAGATAATGGATGGCCCCACTTTCATTAAGAATGGGCTGGTTGATGCACTTGGGGATGGCCTTATCTCCGGACTAGTTTTCTCCCACTTGCCAGTGATGCCTTGTAATT